GAATTTTGAATTAGAATGTGTTTGAGTAAGGAGAGGCGTAGCACATAAAAAGACAACTGAGGAAACATTGATTTTTGTCTTTGTTATTTTCTTCTGCTTTCAATAGTATAGGCTACTTTCCATTGAAAGATTTCAGAAAAAAGGAGAGAAATAATTTGTTTCTTCCTACACGTCATCTTTTTTTCTGGCATGGAGTCCAGTACCCAAACCATTCTAAGATTCTTTGAATGCTTACTGTTAGGTGAAATGCCTCTAGCCTGCAAAAAGACTGGCACCAGGCAGTTCTCTGTCAAGGATGCAGACTGCAATAAGTCATAAAAAAGGAAGAGCATTAAAAAAAAAAGAAATAAAGGGAGGGTGAGGGAGTGGGAGAGAACTATTTATTTTAGTGTGGAAATTTTCCAGACATATTGCACTTCCTCAGAAATTTCATACATCAGTGAAATATAAGTTATGATTCTTTCCTGCTCCAGGAAAATAATTTGGAGCATAATTCACAGTTGTGTAAGACAATTACTGAGATCAATTGCATATTATAGATGTCTAGCTATAGTTCACCCTAGTGTTTCCTACTGTGCTGATTTCAAGTAAATATGTTTAGCTGAAAGATATATGCAATGCAAAAAGATTCATCTCATTATTTAATTTAACCATGATAAAGATATATAACTTGAACCCACACACTAAAATTTTCTAGCGTAAAACAATCATAAAGGTTAGTGTGGGACTGAGTGTGGCCAGCAGGACTAGTGAAGTAACAGAACAGCCTAGAGCACAAGTCTTATGAAGAACCTCAGGGAACCAGAGCTGTTTTGTCTACAGGAGAAGGTTCATGGGGGGACTTTATCACTGTCTACAACTACCTGAAAGGAGGATGGAGCGAAATGATGGGTGATCTGTTTTCCTAAGTAATATGTGATAGGACAAGAGGTAACAGCATCAAGCTGCACCAGGGTAGGTTTAGACTGGATATTAGGAAAAATTTCTTCACCGAGAGGATGGTCTGGAACAGCTTTCCCAGGGTTCCATTCCTGGAAGTGTTCAAAGCCCATGTAGATTAGGCCCTTAGTGACATGGTTTAGTGGTGGACTTGGCAGTGCTGGGGTAATTGTTGGACTTGATGATCTTAAAGGTCTTTTCCAACCTAGCTGACTCTATGATTATACAGTAAAATAAAAGCAAATTGTGTCATTGTTTAGACACAGATATTTTCTAAATTATGCAATTATACATCACAGGACATATACTTGCTAATTTCAAAGCCAAAGTATTTAATATATTTCCCTGTAAATTCACTATAAGCTAACACTCTCTCAATGGTTTCTAAATTCCCTGTTTTATTTTACAAGGTCCAGTGTGAAACATTTACTAAAATACTAAAAACTGTTTTAATTTATTGTGATTTACAAGGAAAAAAAAATCATGATCACCAAAATTATAAATTAACATTGACATAAAAAGTGGTTTAATTAATTAAATTGATCAATGTAGAACTTCAATTATTTGTAAATGTAGATAATATCAAGATGGGAGGTTGATGGAAAGCTTTACACTTTGATGTTTAGACAGCATTTTGAAGACTGTTTCCTAATACAACACTGAACATTAACTTTGCATACCATCTTTTTTTTACGTTAGGACCTTAATTAACCTATTGAGTTCTTTGTTCCAGACAGTATTTTTTATTATTAAAATTATTGGTTGATGTTTTCACTGTATATAATTTACTTCTCTTTGAACTGAACTTGACCTGATAAGTAGGCAGTGGAAGAAATCAGTGGTATTATTATCAGTGGTGAAATGAAGTGCTAATATGACTGATTTCTTCTGACTAATTTACAGAGCAATAGAGTTGTTACTCACCAAGATGCAACCATGATGAGGATGGAAAGCATGATTACCATTTTAATGTATAATTAAAAACATAAACAAATCAGACGTGTGAATTTTGTCAGCAGCGGGCAGTAGAAGAATGTATCTTGGGGCTTTGTAACTGTGTAGGGAAAACAATAACTAATTGCTGATCACATAATAAAGGCCTGTACTTAACTGTACTGGAATCTTAAATATATGATACAGGGAGGCAAATGATTAGTTATTCTTCAAAAAAAAACACAACAATGTTGATGCTCAGTATTAATAGTTATAATCATCTTTCCCTCCTTTAATACTTGGGAGCTCAAACACTGCTCAAACTACCTTCTGCCCTACTTCTTAGTCTACGTGATAACATCAGTATTCCATCAGTGAGGCCAAACAGGACCAATGGGGAGAAAAACAGGCCTTGAGATGTTACTTTGTTATATAATTTTATTGAGTTAAAATACTTCTCGACAACACAATGCAATGAATATATATCTTTTACCAGAGATGTCTTACTTCTTGAAACACCTGCTAACAAATTTGAAAAGGGAGTTATATGGTGCCTCTTTACAGTTGGATGCTAACTTCTACATAAATTCCCCTTTACCTATCTGAAAATTTATAAGCTGTCAATTAAAATAACTTGTTTGAGTTTTATGGAAAAAAAAATTAAAAATCCAATAAAACATCTTCTACTATAAATAAGATGCAGCATGCACCTTTCTTAAACTGGACTTTACAGCTGATGTGTTCCAGGAAGAAGAATGGCATCAGGAAGAGTTAGTGTTAGATATCCATTCATTTCACCATAGAGATTACCTGCTGTCAGACATCATTACTGCTGTATTTGAAAGTTTCATATATTCACCTAATTTATGTAACAATGCAACCTACAGCTGAGGTTAAGGTAGCAGTGGTCAGAACAAGAATTTCTTACTATATGACTGGCAACTCCTTAGCAATTGTACCTATTTTGCTTATATTGCAGTCAGACTAAGATATTTGTGACTTCTGGATTTGCAACTGTTTACTTAGGAATGCGCTATGATGCAACATTTAGTAGCCATGTTGTTATTCTAGTTTGATCATTAAATGGAAAAAAATGGGTCCTCACTGGTGACTATTTCTGTGTATACTAGTATTAATACAAAAACTGCTCATGTTACAGAACATGAATAGCCCTTTAGTTACATTAGAATGCATACTAGATGGGTGGTAAAAGTGCAAACTTTCAGTACTAGTAGTACTTCAAGCAAGGAAATTATGCTAAATCTCAGGGCAAGGTGAAGAGAAATCACTACTGGGTTAATCCTTCAGAATTAAAAGAGTAAAGTTATTACTTTATTGTGCAGTGAAACTTTTAATTGCAGTGCTGCAGAACATATTTTATACCTTTAGCATTCCTTATCTCCAGTGTTAATTCAGACAGATTTATGTAATTGTGCGGTGCATTGGATTGTCTGGATTCTGTCAGATCCACCTATAGATGAATATTATGGCAGTCCAACAAAGTTGGGCTCTTTCCTGTCATTTTAGGTAGTAAATTGAAAAGATCTGCTGACTTTCTAGTGAATTCTCTTCTCTGCTAATTGCCCCCTGAGGAGCAGAGTGTCAGCAACAAATCCTACCAAATCTTGCATAATGATTAAAAATGGAGAAACCAAGGCAGCTGAAGTAAAGGTCACTGTATAATCTCCATTTATTGAAACAAATAGAGTTAATTGCAGTACTTCATCTCTTGTGGATGCCTTGATGAGAGTTTGTTTTGGGTTTTGGTTTGCTTGTTTTTTTTTTCTCAAAAACTGAAATTTTCCATTTTTTTCAACATGGGGCCTAATATTCTGTTTGTGAACTTTCTGCATTTATAATAATGAGATGTTCATGCTCTTTTCCTTACATGAAAATTAACTTTTAAGAAAGGCTTAATTATATTTTTATTATCAATGACTAGGGAAACAGTCATCTAGAGAAAAGAAAAAAAGCAAAGTTACTGCAGAGGGTGATTACATGATGCAGTCTCTTCTACCATAATATCTTTGGATGAACAGATTAATGTAAAATCATGTACAGAAATGGAAAATATTGTCTGAAGAGTTCTTAGGTACCCCGTGTTACTCATATATTCAGAAACTGTTGGAGCACAATGCTGTTTCCCAGTTTCTACATTTCTGTGGTTCTGTGCTGCTGTTTCAGTTGTAGCTAACTAAAAGTGGGGATTTGGATTTGTCAGGGTTTTTTTTATTTATTCTTATTTTTTTTAACTAGAAATTTGGTTTGGTTTGAAATGAACCATAACCATCAGTTTTCAGTCTCACTGAACTTAAATTTCCAGGAAAATCTCGTTTCTGTGGGAAAATTATTATTATTCATTTGAAAGTAAGAAATGTCTTCTTTAGGGAATTAAGGAGTTTTGCTGGAAAGTATTTATTTTAATTTCTTTTCTGACCCTTTGCAGTCTGGCAAGACTTACTCCCTGTTACTGGATTCCTCTAAGACAGTCCAGAAGGCAAGAATTGCAGAGCTGATTGGGACCTTTGTTTTGCTTTCACCTGGACCTTGATGGATCAAGTATACCTTTTGTTTCCTAGTTGCATGCTGATTCAGTAATCCGGAACAGGCTGAACAGTTGAATAAAGAAAACAGTGAACTTATGAAAATGGAAGGTAGTGAATGAGGAGCTGACAAGGAGAGGTGCCATGCTTGACCTCGTGTTCACCAACAGGGAAGGGCCGGTTGGAAATGTGATGCTCCAGGGCAGCCTTGAGATGGTTGAGTTCGAGATCCTCAAGACAGTGAGAAGAGCGTGCAGCAAGCTCACTGTCCTGGACTTCAAGAAAGCAGTTTTTGGCATCTTCAGGAACCTCCTTAATAAGGTTCCATGGGATATAGCCCTAGAGGACAGGGGGGCCCAAGACTCTTGGTTGATATTCAAGGATCACTTGCTACAAGCTCAGGAGTGTTGCATGCCAACTAGAAGGAAGTGCAGCAGCAGGGCCAGGAGACCTCCTTGGGTGAATAAGGAGCTGCTGAGGAAAATTAGAAGGAAAAAAGAGGCTTATAAAAGGTGGAAGCAAAGACAGGCCACCTGGGAAGAATACAGGGATGTTGTCTGGGAAGCTAGGGTTAGGAAAGCTAAGGCCAGTTAGAATTAAACTTGGCTAGGGATGTTAAGGATAATAGGAAGGGGTTCTATAGGTACGTAGCGAATAAAAGACAGACTAGGGATAATGTGGGCCCTCTCCGGAACCTATCAGAAGTGGCTACCCTGGATGTGGAGAAGGCTGAGGTTCATAATGACTCCTTTGCCTTAGTCTTCACTGACAAATTCTCTGACCACACCACTCAAGTCTTACAAGGCAGACGCAGGGACTGTGAGAATGAAGACCTTGCGCCCACTGTAGGAGAGGATCTGGTTCGAGGCCATCTTAAGAACCTGAAAGTGCACAAGTCCATGGGACTTGATGAAATCCATTTGCGGGTCCTGAAGATCTGGCAAATGAAGTTGCTAAGCCACTGGCCATCACATTTGAAAAATCATGGCAGTCAGGTGAAGTTCCCGACGACTGGAAAAAGGAAAATATAACCCCCATTTTCAAGAAGGGAAAATGGATGACCCGGGGAATTACAGACCAGTCAGTCTCACCTCTGTGCCTGGCAAAATCTTGCAGCAGATTCTCCTGGAAGGCATGCTGAGGCACATGAAAATCAACAAGGTGCTTGGTGACAGCCAGCATGGCTTCACTAAGGGGAAATCCTGCCTGACCAACTTGGTGGCCTTAGGTAATGGGGCTACAGAACTGATGGACAGTGGTAGAGCAGCTGATGTCATCTACCTGGACTTGTGTAAAGTGTTTGACACTGTCCTGCACAATGTCCCTGTCTCAAAATTGGAGAGACATCAATTTGATGAATGGAGCGCTCAGTGGATAAATAAATGGCTGGATGGCGCCTCACACAAAGAGTTGTGGTCAATGGCTCAATGTCCAGCTGGAGACTAGTAACAGGTGGTGTCCCTCAGAGATCAGTGTTGGGACCCGTCTTGTTCAACATATTCATCACTGACATGGACAGTGGGATTGAGTGCGCCCTCAGCAGGTTTGCCAATGACACCAAGCTGTGTGGTTCTGTTGATATGCTGGAGGGAAGGAATGCAATCCAGAGGGACCTTGACACGCTTGTGAGGTGGGCTGATGCCAACCTCATGAAGTTTAACCATGCCAAGTGCAAGGTCCTACACCTGGGTCGGAGCAATCCCAGGCACAGCTACAGGTTGGGCAGAGAAGAGATTCAGAGCAGTCCTGCAGACAAGGGCTTGGGGGTGCTGGTCAATGAGAAAATGAACATGAGCCAGCTTCAGCGTGCACTTGCAGCCCAGAAAGCCAACCATATCCTGGGCTGCATCAAAAGGACCGTGACCAGCAGATCGAAGGAGGTGATCCTGCCCCTCTACTCTGCTCTCATGAGACCTCATTTGGAGTATTGTGTACAGTTCTGGTGTCCTCAACATAAAAAGGACATAGAACTGTTGGAACAAGTCCAGAGGAGGGCCACAACGATGATCAGGGGACTGGAGCACCTCCTGTATGAACATAGGCTGAGAATGTTGGGGCTGCTCAGCCTGGAGAAGAGAAGGCTGCATGGGGGCCCCAGAGCAGCCTTCCGGTATCTGAAGGGGGCCTGTAAGGATGCTGGGGAGGGACTCTTCTTTAGGGACTGTAGTGATAGGACAAGGGGTAATGGGTTAAAACTTCAACAGGGGAAGTTTAGTTTGGATATAAGGAAGGAGTTCTTTAGTGTTAGTGTGGTGAGGTATTGGAATGGGTTGCCCAGGGAGGCTGTGAATGCTCCATGCCTGATGGTGTTCAAGGCCAGGTTGGACACAGCGTTGGTTGAGATGGTTTAGTGTGAGGTGTCCCTGCCCATGGCAGGGGTGTTGGAACTAGATGATCTCATGCTCCTTTCCAACCCTTTTCTATGATTCTATGATTCTATGAATATAGGTAGTAGATGACTTGGAACAGAAAGCCTGTTGGAGAAACTAAAAGGTAATTTGTGCCATCACTACTCCTAAACTGGTTTCTTGGATGGTCTGGTGTGCTTCAGTCTGAATGTAGTTTCTGAGGACCTAGGTAACCTTGCAGAGGTGGTGACTCTGTTTTTGTATTACCCCATCACTGAACTCAGCATCATCACTGAAAAACAGGACTAGCTGGTGTCTGCCTTTTTTAGCCCACAGTTCTGAAAGACTACACTGCCTGCTTCTTTGAAATGCTAATGTTTCCTCTCTGTGACTCACATCTCCCACTGGAGGTTTTGTCCTTCCATTTCATCTGTTTAAATTTTTTTTTCTTAGAAGTATTGTAGAGAAAAAATACTACTCTCATCTGGAATCATGATAAGTACTCTCTGTACCTTTGCCTTCTGGTGTCCAGTGTGTGTCTTCAGAATAAATTCACAACAGTTTTCAGAACAATAGAAAAATAATAGAACAAGCAAATTTCAGAACATCAATTTCCTTTTATGAGAAATTTCTGGGAGTACTTTTCTGTTAGGCACAGACCCACTCAGGACCAGCCTGAAGCTTCCCTTCTCAATGAATGACATCTTGGGGTTAACTGATGTTTTTCTGAGCAAAATATCTCACATATAAAGTATCTGTTGACTATATTGGATTCTCCTTCTGTTTCACAACAGCTGATAGATATAATCAGTAAAATCTATATGGATTATGAATTTTATCAGTTCCAGGAGAACACAGGTAGCCCTGCTGTGATAGATGCATCTGAACTGCAGAACTGTCTTTGAGGCTGAACCTGTACTTGTAAATAAAACAGGACCAAGGTTTGTTCTCTGGTCCTGGGGCCACATGGTGTGATACTGACCTTCCTAACTACTTGGAACATGGTCCAGGGTCTGTATTAGGCAATTTGGTTTTAATAGCCATATAGTAGGGTCATAAAATAATGGAGTAGTTAGGGTTGGAAGGTATCTTAAATATCATCCAGTTCCAACCCCCCTGCCATGGGTAGAGACAACTTCCACTAAACAACACTGCTCAAAGCCTTAGCCAACCTGACCTTGAACACTGCCATTGATGGGGTATCAACAGTTTCTGTGAGTAACCTGTTCCAGTGTCTCACCACCCTTACAATAAAGATTTTTTTCCCTAATGTCTAATCTAAATCTACCATCTTTCAGTTAAAAGCCGTTCCCACTTGTCCTAGCCCTACATGCCCTTTTAAAAAGTCCCTTTCCAGATTTCTTGTAGGTCCTGTTTAAGTACTGGAATAATAATATATACAAGCATATGTGGACACACACATATATATTGTCAGGTAGTTTCATTCCCTAGTGTGTTGTGAGCAGTCTGTGGTATGTGCTATTCCTGTTGTCAGGTATTGCTTTGGTGAAAAACCATGCCAGGGAACATGCTGGCAGCGGAGTGGGACAGGCAGACAGCAGAGCTGTGACTTAGTTTGTCCGGCTTTCTAAGTACAACAGACACAGATTCTGTGCAGTCAGAAGCTATTGCAGTCCAGATTGCAGCCAGTGTTTGTGGCATTAGGATTTTGGTGTTCCCTTCTGTGGAGCACTTTGTGCCCCATCTTTCGGAGTTGCAGCTTTGAAAAGAGCTGGGACAGTTTGGCTCCAAATTGAGCTTGTCAGGCAAAGGGTCCTGGGCATTTGGAGGTAAATACTTGGCTGCTTGCTCTGAAGGTGACTAGTCGAAGTGTTTGCCTGAGAGGCAGGAACTCGGGGCTCTCTGTCTGCACCAAGTCCTATCCAGGACTGTCAGCAGTTCATCGATCTTAAAGTATATTAAATTAAACATTTCAGACTCTCTGAATCAGCATTTTCAGCTTTAATTGCATTTTGTTTAATTAAATCTTGTTAAATAAATCTTTTCTGCAATATATTATCAGTTGGGGTGTGTTTTAGGTATTCCTAGCTGCCGCTACAGTACTGGAGAGAAATGCAGTAGGGGTTTTTGTTTGGATATGGGGTTGTTTGGGGTATTTTGTTTGTTTTGTTGTTTTGGTTTTGTTTGTTTTTTTCAGGGTGGTTTATTTTTTTTTTTTTGTGCACGTGTTTTGTTCTCGTTGAGCTTCTGTTTTACCCATTTCCATGTCATCCAGAGTTTGGACAAGTGTAGCACAGGACTGGCAGTAGCAGCTCTTTCAGTCCTGTCAATGTGTAATTTTACACTTACAAGTAGTCCAGTTGAAATTAATTAATTCACTGGGACCATGCATGTATATGACTGTCTGTAGGATAATGACTATTAAAGAGCTTTTTGCTTAATTTCCTCTTTGGAAGGTGGTAGAGCATTTTCTCTCTCACACACAATTCTGGGCAACTTGGAGGGCTGATTTATTTATTTATTTTTTTTTTTTTTAATGTTCCCAGAACATTTTAACATCTTTAGATGAAAGCCAGTAGAGACAGTCAAAGCATCCATGCTCACCACCTCCAAAGCAGCCTTCTGCAACAGCCTTCCTTGGCCTGCTAATGGCTGGCATGGAGCCAGTAGCTGTGTAATGAGCTGTATGAAGGGCAGGTAGCCCCTGGAATTACAGAAGAGAATTGTGACAGAATAAAGGAAAAGATGAAATTCTTGTGACCTCTGTCCATGAAGAAAAACACTGCAGCACTTGCTTATTGTACTCTGGACTGAATACATTGGATCTTGACCTTAATCTTAGTTTTCTTTAGTTGTAAAAAATGTATTTTGGCTCTGTTTAAATAAAAGAACAATGATATTTCCAGAGATTTAATAAATGGGAACATTCTTCATCAGAAGAAAAAAATTGTATGAGGGTTTTCTCTGTAGTAACCCCTTTGTTGTTTGAAGTCACAATTATTCTCTTTCAGAATGATGTAAAACTTTTATATTCAGAGTTTCAACATAGCAAAATGACTGGTAAAGTAGATAATACTATGTACAGCTGCACTGTGGGACAAATATACAGTGCAGGAAGGATCAAAAATAAATGGTATAAGGAAGTCTGCAGGTATCCTAGGAAAAAAGTATTCATAAATCCTCCTCTTTTTTCCTTTTCTCAAACAGTTTTTTTTGCATAGCAGTAATAACCCATAACAGGTGATCTTCTAATACTATTTACTGAGAGGGGAAAAATATTTAAAAAAAAAGACCTAATATGTCTTTAATGATGGAAGTCAGTGTGTCCCTGCTGGACATGGTGTTGAATCAGTTTGTATCATCTGACATCTAAAATGGAAAATAGGAATGTAAACACTATCAAATTTTACTTTGAAAGAGGCATTTATTGTTTTTCTAGGATGAATTCTGAGGGATGTTCTAAACCAGATTCTTTTCAAACACAATTGCAAAAGAAAAGCAAATTCCTGTAATGAAGTGGCACTATATCAGCTAAGAAAGATGATTAGAAACGCTCGCTACAATTCAATCACTTTGTAGTACTAGCTGTTGTATCTGCTATCTAGGTCTATTTTTACCCCATATACCATAAATTTCTTAATCACGGTTCCTACTGTGATTCAGCCCATTTTTCCTGCCAGACCAAACCTTGACTGCTGAGGTAGAAGATCTTTTGCTTAAGTGTGGTAGTAATGTGACAGGGCACACTGGGTCTGCAACTATTTCACTGAAAAAGTATTGCAAGGAGAGAGAAAAATCAAATGTGAAGAAAGTGGAAGAATGCATGATGCCAAATGTTTCAACATGGAACTTTTCATCTTAGAGAGATGACCTAACAGTGATCATTATTATCGCTAATTGTTGAGCTTGTAGACTACCTTTTGTCTTACCTGCTGGTGTTCAGGTTTTCCTGAGTATTTGCCTTTCTTAGAGATGAGTTTTAAAGTGTTAAATATTTAAAACAGTGAGGAGAGCAGAGGCATTGTCCTGGGTTCAGAAGTAGCAGTCATGTTACTTCTTCGTAGTAGCTGGTGCAGTGCTGTGTTTTGACTTCCAGCCTGGGAACAGTGTTGGTGATATGGATGTTTTCGGTTGTTGCAAAGTGATGTTTACCCTGACCAAGGACTTTGAGAGGCTCATGCTCTGCCAGGGAGGAGGGAAATCTGTGAGGAAGCAGAAACGGGGCGCCTGACCCAGGCTAGCCAAGGAGGTATTCCATACCACAGCACGTCATGGCCGGGGTGGGGGGTAAACTGGGAGTTACCCGGAAGGACAGGGGCTTCTGGGTCGGATGCCTTTTCGGCGGGTGGTATTGTATTCTCTTCCCTTGTTATTTTCTCTTATCGTTGGTGGTGGTGGTAGCGGTGACGATTGGTGTTGTACATTGGTTGCTGGACTGTTCTTGTCTCAACCCGTGGGAGTTGCACTTTTTCGATTCTCCTCCCCGTTCCTCTGGGAGCGGAAAAGGGGAGAGCCCTGCAGGGGTGGGGGGGCCTCGATTGCTGTCAGCCCGGCAACACTCACTGGGAGTGAGTGAACAAGCCACCTGGCTAGGGTTTAAACCACGACAGTTCTTTTTGGCGCCCAACGTGGGGCACGAGGGGTTGAGATAATGACAGATCTAACTGTATTAATAGTCACTTGTCACAATGCTGATTTATTGGCTCTCAAGGTTATTCCTCTTGATCTCACAGTTTCAGTATATCATATCTTACTTCCATCTGGTAGTATGGAAGGAGGCCTGGCAGATTGACTATATCACACTGCCGACAACCCGCCAAAGGCAAGCGCCATGTGCTTACCATGGTGGAAGCAACCACCGGGTGGCTGGAAACATACGCTGTGCCCCATGCCTTGAGAGGCTCATGCTCTGCCAGGGAGGAGGGGAAGCTGGGAGGAAGCAGAGACGGGGCGCCTGACCCGGGCTAGCCAGGGAGGTATGCCATACCACAGCACGTCATGGCTGGGGTGGGGGGTGACTGGGGGTTACCTGGAAGGACACGGGCTTCCGGGTGGAACTCGTTTTCTTGGCCGGTGGTATCGTATTCTCTTCCCTTGTTATTTTCCCTTATCATTGTTGTAGTTGATAGTAGCGGTGGCGATTGGTGTTGTACATTGTTTGCTGGACTGTTCTTGTCTCAACCCGTGGGAGTTGCACTTTTTCGATCCTCCTCCCCGTTCCTCCGGGAGTGGGGGAGAACCCCGGTGGGGGGGGGACACGGACCTCGATTGTTGTCAGCTCGGCACCACTCACTGGGAGTGAGTGAACAAGTTACCTGACTGGGTTTAAACCACGGCAAAGCACCTAATTTTGACTCAGCTGTAACATGAAGGATCAAATTTTGATAGTTCATAGTTGATCACTTAATATGTTGTATAAATAAGAAATGGTGCATTATTCTTTAAATTGTACCCTTATTCAAACTTTGTTGTAACACTCCATAACAACTCCCAGCAGTGAGACATATAAAGATTCACTTCAGCCCCATCAAACGTGTCTCCTGCAATACTGAGTTGAATCACTGCGTCCTTACTCACAGAATGTTGCACTGTACACGTGGAGATGACTTTGAAGTCCTAGTTCACAAATTAGCTGATGTGTTTGTTTGTCAAGTTCTTAATTAGGTGATGGAAACTCAGCTTCCCATCAGATCTACATTGCTTCAAAATGAATTGTGTGGAGAACATAGCTGGCTTCATTTAAAGTTTTTGCCTGGGATGCAAGACTAGATCCACAGAATAATATGGGGATTGTGATACCTCACAATAACTACTTTTCTCTCAAATTTAGAAATTTACTTTCTAAATTCAGCTTCCATCTGAAGTTGTTTCAAATCTATTTATTACTGTTTTTTTTTTTTTCTTGCTGCCTGAAGCACTCTTCCTGAGCACAAGAAATTCTCTA